TTTTTTTTTTTTTTTTTTTTTTTTTTTTTTTTTTTTTTTTTTTTTTTTTGGGATTGTGACAGAAGTGTTTTAATTTCTAATTATTATTTGGTAAAGTACTTTATGATAATTAATATACCCACTCCAATAATTTATACCTTATATTGACTTATTTCAATTATCTCAAAAAAGAATGTCTACATATTTCAAATAATATATTAATTAATAATAATTACAAATAATTACAATAATAGGTTATTATGTACCAAATATTGTATTATTATTGATTTTTTTTTGGTGAACTTTTAACCTTTAAAAATAGGTGTCAACAAAAAAAAAATTAAAAATTAAAACGTAAATTTTATTCAGCCTTTAAAAAAATGGGATAAAATTATAATTTTAAAATTGTTGCTCATTACCAATTTGTGATTAAAATAAAAATATTTTAAATTTGGTACTTTATTTAAAAAATATTTTTAAATTTTAGTAAGTTTTACCCATATCATTTAATTAAAAAAAAAATAAAAAAAATTATTTTAAATTTGGATGAAAATTGTTAATATTTTTAATTTTCAATAATATTTCGAAAAAACCTTTTAAAAAGTTTAATTAATATCATTTTTTTAAATTAAAAATATTATTATTAGTACCGTATTAGATTAGCGCGAATAGTCTTAATCTTTATAAAAAAAAAGTTATTGTCATAATAGGTACGAAAATAGTCTGTCTGCATTTCATAGATCATCTCAAAAAAAAATCCTAAAAATAAATGTTAATTTGAAAGTTTATAGATATTTTTGAAACGTGATACTGTGTTTTTTTTTTTTAATTTAAAGGTGAATTAAATGTATTTTTAAATAATTTTAAAAGTAAAAAAAAAAAAATTGAAACCTGGGATAAAATAAATTAATTAATTAATTACTGACCATACAATATTTTTTAAATAAAGAAAATCACTTTATTAGTGATTATCATTGACTAATTTTAATTTGCTTCCTTAATTAACACTCCATTAAATAAGATCATTTGTTCTATTTAAAGGATGCAATCAAATATAAAGTAAAAGGTGACCATACATGGTAACTTTTATATTTTTAAAAATCATCCGTTATTAATTTCAACGATTAGGGTCGGAGGTTCAAAATTTCATACTCCATGTTACACGAAATAACGAGCCAGTTAAATAAAATAAAATGTGTTGGCCAACAAAAGTCGAGAGCTCGAGTATATGCAAAGGATACTTAGCGACCTTTTGCACAATTTTATAGCTAAAATATCTATTAGACATATAATTAAAAGAGGTTTGTTAAGAATATATATGCATGGAAGCCCGGAGACTAAAATGATAACTTAGGTTATCGATATAAGATTTAGACTTGAGTTTCTTCCTGTTTTTAAATCAAGGGTCAAGGTCTCTTAATGCAACATTGCATCTCATCTTGTCATCTCGATCTCCATCGACATGGTTTAGATGTCTTGGCGTCATCCCGAGTCTTGGGATGTCGTCAGTCATCACAACTCGTACAGGTCCGCATGTCACTCATCTCATTGGGACTTCCCAAACATCCATTCATCGGGGTTCTATCGAGGCATTGGCCCTTCCGTGCCCATGTCGTGTTATTTACAGATACAGTATTGGATAGCGGGTGTATATAGCAACCTCCAACACACGGGTTGGGGTGCAATACTGGCACACTCGTGTCGTCCAATACTGTCCTTGAAAAACCCATTTCAAAGGAAGTCGTCCGAAACACTCGTCTCAACACGCTCGCCCATACTGTGACATACCACACAGGATAGCTCGCTTAGGCCACAGGGTTCAGGGGTGCTCTTGTTTAAGATAATGACAAGGACGAGATTAGGAGAGAATGATTGAGAGGAAGCAAATCTAGATGCATTAACATTGTGGTATCCCAATGAATTAGGGCATCAAGAAATGGCGTTGCTTTGGCGTTACTCAAATCAAATGAAATCAAATGGTATATAATATTATTTGAATAATTTTTTATTTTTCTTGGCTTATCTCTCTATCTTCTTCTTATTCTTCTTTATTTATTTCTCTCTCATCAATTTTAAATTATGTGCATAATGCATCCATTAATTCAAATTCTCTCTCTTTCTCTCTCTTGTTTCTGCACCTCAAAACATGTGAGTTCTTGGTCAATTCAATAAATAGGATACAACACGATGCATGTTGTTCTCAATGATAATAAGACAAGACAGAATTAAAGATGCCTTCTTCGATTTTAATCTCGAAAAAAATTTGACCTGATTTTATTCTTATTTCATAAATAAGCATGAAACGTGAACGGAAGAGAATAAAAAAAAATGTTATGAAATGATATGCAAATGATATAATAAGTTGGAACAACGATGAGTAGAAATAAAATAATTGTTAGGTTGACGTTTAGTTATTGGACTAAAAGTTGTAATTATAGGATCCTCCAATTGCTTTCATGTTCTTTTTTTTATTTATTAATTTTTAAGGGATTTAAAATTATTTTTTGAATGAACCGAGATTACATTCGAATAAGAGCGATCTTGACGATATGATAGCTAAAATAAGTTTAAAAGAATTGGAAATTACTACCTATACCAACAAGGGTACACTCTCTTTTTCGATGGTTCGATCATAGGAAGTTTGAAGTTAACCATGTTGTGGTTGAAACAATTTTAAGTTGGGTAACCTCTTGAAAGTTTTCTTAGAATGCATGTGAATGAGAACAAAACATATTGGAAACGCTCATGTTAGTTTGTAAAGATAGTCTTCACTCTTAGAAGTGAGAAGTAAATAACATGACTGTGCCGCAGAGATATAAGAGAATGTTAGGACCATTACATCTGATCAAAATCCTAGACATGGGCCTACATATATATGCAAAATAACGTGACCATGTCACAAAAAATACAAGTCATCACGTGCTAAATTCTTGATTAAAATCCTAGACATGGAACTACATTATGTATGCAAAATAATGTGACCATATCATAGAGAATGCAGAGTAATGTTGGAGCCATCACGTGCTAAATCCAGAATTCAAATCCATATCAAAATACTTATATATATGCAAGAGCCACAAACATTCATTCCAGATGATTTTCGTTGCTGTTCCCGATCCCACGAAGCGATATCAAGTTATCGCTCCCGATCGCCAAAGACCCATCTAATAAAGTTCTGATAGAAGGGAGAAGCCTCACCAAAGAAGCATTCACATTCACATTCAAACAAACAGGACTTGACATTGCCCATTGTCTTCTTACATTTGTTAGATAACGTTAAATCATCCAAACCAACAGTTAAGAGACACTTCTAAATGGAACAATCGTATCTCTATTTCCTCTCATAAAACAAAACAATAATACCAAACAAAACACAAACACACCATCAAACTCTCATCCAAATGAACTAAACTAAGCATAAAGGCAGAACAAGTCACTTTCATTCCAGGTCCACCTGAACCTGCCATAGCCAGCCTGGTAGCAGGATACAACACATTAGGATAGGGAAAGAAAGAACATAAAGAACAAGCTGGTTCTAGCCATACAGTGTGTTAAGCTAAGTGAATGGCAAATATTCATAACATTTGAAACATCAATGGGGGGGGGGGGT